CGCAGTTCGCTTTCCGCCTGCCCTCGAGCCGCCCCACGACGGCATGCACGAGGCGGAACATGCAGCAGCGTGCTATCTTCAAGAGGGTTCAGGCTCCCTCTGGTCGGCTGTCCGACATGTGGTCGGCCTTTTGCCGTTTAGGGATGTCAAGAGGCAACATCAGCCTCACCCACAGTCGCAATTTTCGGCTGGGGCCTATGGTCACCGAGGGTTTGTTGGGCTCTGTAAGCAGACGGAGCAGTTTGGCTCGGTGCTCAGACTGCTCAACCTGCTGATCTGCAGTCTCCACACTGGTTTCTCGTGGACGACGGTGGTTATCACGGTTAACAACGTGGCTGGCCTGCACATTGACAAGCAGAACGCGCCTTTCTGCAGCCTCGTTTTCGGCCTGTCGCATCACAGCCAGGGCCACATGTGGATCCAGAGCACCAGGGGGATGCCTTGGACGGGTCCTGGCCGAGCGCAACATGCCGCTGGCTACAGACTGGATGTGTCTTCGAGGGCGTACTTGCTGCCTACGTTCAGCCATCCGCACTGCGCAGAGGCATCCACGCAAGGGGACCGGCTGGTGCTCATCGCCTATGTCATTGGTCAGTACGAGAGCCTGAGTGCCTCTAACCTCCGTACATTGCATGAGCTGGGATTCTGTCCGCCACGGGTCTTACCAGCGTCGGCTTCGCCTGCAGTGCCGGAGATAGAGATTGTGGACTGAGCAGGCTGCACATTAAGGCGATGTCTCAGAATGCTACGTCCCGCTGGGTTTTTAGGCCGGTTTTCTTGGGGTGCCCCCGGGCTGTTTTTCACTGAGTCCCTCCTTCTTCCCCTGCTGTTCCCACGCTGTGCCCCAAACCCTCCCCCTCGATAGCGACCACAACTGCCAGCACGGTCGGAGTCGCAAGGGCATTCGTGCCGGACTCCGCACGGTAGTTTCGAGGGTGCGCGCATGATGCACCGCCTCTGGTCTTACTTGGGGTGTTGAGCTGCGACCGCGGACTGGAAAACCGGCCTTTGCTGATGCACTTTGCCCGCCTGACTTCCAGTTAACGCGGTGCTGATGCCTGCTGACGTTTGTCACTTGCAAGAACTCAGGTGTCCTTGCATGCTGCATGGTGGTGCAGCCGGGATCTCTGCGAACCTAAGTCCGCGGTCCAGGAAGCTCTCTGGTCTACGCCAGTTGCTCAGCAGTTGCTTCTCAGGGCGGTATCAGATACCGGCTGCTTGGCCATCCGTGGCGGGCCGGGGATGAAACTCCGCATCTGCAGGGCCCCTGGCTGCACTTATAAAATTTTG